GCTGAGGCTCTCTCATGTTGGTATAAGCCCATTTGTCATTATCATATCATTTCATCACATATCATTGCCTCGGTTTGCGTACCCGCATGCACGTACTTCGAGACACATATCATTGCCTCGGTTTGCGTGCCCGCGTGCACGTACTTCGAGACACATATCATTGCCTCAGTTTGCGTGCCCGCGTGCACGTACTTCGAGACACATATCATTGCCTCGGTTTGCGTGCCCGCGTGCACGTACTTCGAGACACATATCATTGCCTCGGTTTGCGTGCCCGCGTGCACGTACTTCGAGTATCATCGCCTCGGTTTGCGTGCCTGCGTGCACGTACTTCGAGACACATATCATCGCCTCGGTTTGCGTGCCCGCGTGCACGTACTTCGAAACACATATCATTTTCTCGGTTTGTGTGCCCGTGTTCACGCACTCCGAGACATTTCATTTTCATAGCATTATGCATTTTCTCGGTTTGCGTACCCGCGTACACGCATTTCGAGGCATCTCATTTCATAGCATTGTGTACGTTAGGATTGTATCTTAGTTGAATTTCATGCATATCATGCATATTGCATCGTGTCCGGAATAGGAGTTAGCCCGGGCACGGGAAACGAGGTACATTTCGTACTCCGAGTGACGGAATGTGTCTCAATTCCCCAGTCACCGACACTCCGGATTATCCATGACGGAGTTAGGTTTTAGCTGTAGTTTCATGTGCATTCATCCTATATCGAGTTGTGCATTTCGACTCCTCGGCCATCATGCCTCGGTATGCGTGATTGGTGGCACGAGGATCGAGACATGCATATATTTGTGCAAATACATTGCTATGCCCCTTTCCTGCTCTCTGTTGCAGCAAAACCAGGAATCAGCAACCTTTTGGGGCTTGGCACGCATTTCAAGAACAGCCATATACTGTAAATATTCATATTTTTGGTCCCTCTTCAGTGTTGTAGAAACGAGGTACATTTCGTACTCCAAGTGACGGAATGTGTCTCAATTCCCCAGTCACCGACACTCCGGATTAGCAAATCCATCCAAGAAGCAACAAAAGCTTGAATCTTCAAGGGTAAGTAACACTTTTACCCTTTTGACCCTTTTTCTTGATCTATTTCTAAGCCCCACTTATTTTTGGTTTCAAGCTCCGGCCCTAACTGAAAAGGGACAT